CGGTCTTCGAGAGTCTTTGAGTCTTATTTCTGACCCGGAAAATTTTAGGGGTCTACAAGGGGTCATTCCACTCGCACGGCCATCACACCTCTATCCCCCACACCTCTGTTGCTGCCCCAGCTGCCCATGCTTCGGGCAGCCGACCGATACAACCATTGCCGGCCGGAGCACATCGGCATCCCTTTACCCCGAGTGTTATGCAGACAACACTCCTTGACCATTGGAAGTCATTGCCACTCGATAAGTATGATGGTTCCACCGACCCCGACGAGCATGTCGACATCTTTTTGACTCAGGTCACCCTCAACACTACTGACGATGCTGCCTTATGCCGAATCTTCGCAACTTCGTTGAAGGGTCGGGCATTGAGCTGGTTCACACGACTTCCGGCCAACTCAGTCGACTCCTTCAATACATTGGCATCTCAATTCACCATTCAATTTGCCACCAGCAAACCTCATCAGCTGACCTCGCTCTCATTGGTAAGCATAAGACAAGAAAAGAAGGAATCCCTTCGGACCTTCATGAGCCGATTCAATAAAGCGGCTTTGGAGATTCGAGACCTCAACCCTGTTGTAGCTTTGCACCACCTTACCACCGCCTTGAAACTGGGACCTTTCGCCAACAGCATCTGTAAGAAACCCCTAACTGATATGGATGATTTGCGTCGGCACGCCGACAAATACATGCAAATGGAGGAATTAGCTGAGTTCCGTAATCAAGCAAGGGCAGAGATAGCCACCAAAGCCGATAAGCCAGTCGAGAGCAACTATCGGAGCCATCCCAAAGAAACTGCTTCCCGCGAAAAACCCACACGAGGACCAAGGTATTCTCATTACACCCTATTGAACGCCAGCCGATCTTCTGTCCTAGATCAGGCACTCGCTTCAGAGGTCTTGGCAGTGCCAAAATGAGCGTCAACCCCTCCACGCGCCGACACAACCAAGTCCTGCAAATATCACTGAAACCGAGGTCACTCAACTGAGGAGTGTGCGACTCTTAAAGATAAAATCGAGGACTTAATCAAGCAAGGGCAGCTTCAACGTTTTGTCGATCGGCCCCGCTCTCCCAGACGCGATGATCACCGGCATCGTGGGGAACAGCATGGCCGAGAGAGATCTGATAGGCATCCTCACAAGGAACAAAGCTGGTCGAGAGACCGAAGAGAAGTAGAGCCCACAACTCAACCCCGAAGGGTCATCAATACTATTGCCGGTGGATTCGCGGGCGGAGGATCCACCTCCTCAGCACAGAAGAGACATCTACGAGCTGTCCGAACTGTCCACGCGGTTGAGCGCACCCGATAGAGGCTGCCGGCCATCACATTCACTGAGGCTGATTTCAAGGGCATCGATCCCGATCAGGACGATCCCATGGTCATCAGTGTGGAGATCCACAACTGCATCGTTCGGAAGACATTGGTCGATCAAGGAAGTTCGGCCGATATTCTCTACTGGAATACCTTCAAGCAACTTGGCATCCCGGAAGCCGAATTGATCCCATACAATGAGCCGCTGGTTGGATTTTCTGGTGAGCGGGTACAAACGAAAGGATACATCAAGTTATCCACTCGTTTTTGTTCCGATGGAGCCGAAGTCTGAGACATCCCGATCAAGTACGTGGTTGTGCATGCTAACACGTCATATAACATTCTTCTTGGAAGACCGTCCCTCAACAGGTTAGGTGCGATTGTGTCAACTCCGCACTTAGCCATGAAATTTCCTTCTGAATCAGGCCGAATCATCATAGTACATGCAGATCAGAAAGCAGCCAGGGAGTGTTATTTCGCTAGTCTCCGGTTGCCCCGCCTCGGAGTAGCCGAGCCGCGTCGAGAGAAACGCGTGCACTCGATAGCCCAAGACCTCGAAACGGTTGTAGACTTCGACCCTCGAATGGAGCAAGACGAGAGGGTCAAGCCGATTGAAGATCGGTACCCAATGGTTATCGGGCCGATCAACCAGCATGTCACCTACCTCGGTTCTAACCTGTCCGAGATCGAAAGGCGTGAAATCGAAAATGTAGTAAAGAAAAACAAAGACCTCTTTGCATGGAGGCCGGCCGACATGCCCGAGATTGACCCTAACTTCTTGTGCCATTGGCTCTCAGTGTGCCGGGAGGCAAAACCGGTCGCCCAACATAAGAGAAAAATGGGGGAAGAGAGGAAAAAGGAAGTTGAAGCCGAAACGTCCAAGATCCTTGAAGCAGGTTTCATTCGAGAAATCCAATACACAACATGGCTGGCCAACGTTGTCATGGTCAAGAAGTCGAATGGCAAATGGCGAATGTGTACTGATTACACAGATCTGAACAAGGCCTGCCCCAAGGATGCTTATCCATTGCCAAACATAGACCGATTCGTGGATTGTGCGGCTGGTCATAAGTTCCTGACATTCCTCGATGCATACTCGGGCTATAATCAAATTCGAATGTACCCCCGAGACGAAGACAAAATGGCATTTGTTACAGATTCTGCCAATTACTGCTACGAAGTAATGCCATTCGGCCTGAAGAATGTTGGGGCCACATATCAAAGGCTCATGGACAAGATCTTCGGTGATCAAATCGGGAGAAATATGGAAGTTTACGTGGATGATATGGTTGTCAAATCGGGCGACACACTTGCCCATATAACCGATCTTGCCGAAGTCTTCCGGGCCCTCAGGAAACATCAGATGAGACTTAATCCCGATAAGTGTGTATTCGGCGTCTCAGGCGGCAAGTTTTTAGGTTTCGTGTTGTCAAGTCGGGGCATCGAGGCTAACCCGGACAAATGCCAAACTATCATCAACATGAGGAGTCCATCAAACTTGAAAGAGGTCCAAAAGTTAGCTGGTAGACTAACAACTTTGTCTCGTTTCCTACCATGTATGGCCGAGACTTCCCAGCCGATCCTTGGCCTTTTGAAAAAGGCAAACAGGTTTCAATGGACGGAAGAATGCGAAATATCTTTTCAACTTTTTAAGAAATGCCTCGGCACTCCCCCGATATTGACCAAGCCAACATCCGGTCAAGAACTAATCTTGTACTTGGCGGTTTCGAGCGAAGCCATAAGCGCCGGCTTGATACGGGAACATGACGGCCAACAGCAACCGATATACTTCATTAGACGAGTGTTGCAAGATGCCGAACGGCGATACCAACTGCTAGAGAAGGTAGCGTTGGCACTCATGTATGCGGCTAGGCGTCTCCGTCAGTACTTTCAGAGTTACACCGTCGTGGTCCGAACAGATTGTCCGATTGCCAAAGTACTGCAAAAACCAGAATTAGCCGACCGAATGATGGCATGGTCAGTTGAGCTCTCAGAGTTTGATATCCGTTTCGAGCCTCGAGGGTCTCGAGGGGCCATCAAAGCACAAAGCTTAGCCGAGTTCGTTAATGAATTATCCCCACTCGGCCAGTTTGAAGATACCGCTTGGACTATGCATGTGGATGGGTCGTCCAATCAACAAGGAAGTGGTGCCGGCATAATCTTGGAAAGCCCATCCGGAATTACCCTCGAACAATCGTTGCGATTCGGCTTCAAGACCTCTAATAACCAAGCAGAATATGAAGCTTTGCTTGCCGGCATGAGGTTGGCTGCCGAGATGGGTGCTACAAAAGTTGAGTGTTGGACTGACTCGAAGGTGGTGGCCGAACAAGTCAATGACAACTTTCAAGTCAAAGACGCGCACTTGTTGAAGTATTACCACATGTTCAAGGCAATGAAAGATCAGTTTCATGAAGTACAAGTCCGACACTCACCACCGTGTAACAACGAGAGAGCTGACCAACTAGCTCGATTAGAAAGTAGCCGAAAACCAGGACAGCTTCGCTCAACCATTCACTTGGAACTACCTACATCAAGTATTCCACAAGAGTGCATGCCGATTGAAAGACCGACAAGTTCATGGATGACCAACATCATAAATTACATCATCAACAGTTCTGAACTGTCTGATCCGTTGGAAGCCAAGAAAGTCCAAACTCAAGCAGCACGTTACTCTGTAATTGCCGGTGAACTATACCGACGAGGGTTCTCCACACCCTTATTAAAATGCCTTGACCAGCCACAGGCCGATTATGTTCTACGAGAAATTCATGAAGGAATTTGTGGATCACACTCAGGTGCAAGAACCTTAGCTGCTAAAGTGCTGAGAGCCGGCTACTACTGGCCGACCTTGAAAACCGACTGCGCCGAATATGTGAAGAAGTGCAAGCAATGGCAACAGCATGGAAACCTAATACATGCCTCGGCCGAGCAGCTCCACTCGGTCAGCGCCCCTTGGCCGTTTGCCTTATGGGGCATTGATATTCTCGGCCCGTTTCCACTCGCTAAAGGTCAATGCAAGTTTCTGGTAGTGGCCGTTGATTATTTTACTAAATGGATTGAAGCCGAGCCGCTAGCTACCATTACAGCAGCCAATGTTCAAAAATTCGTATGGAAAAACATCATCACCCGATTCGGCATCCCATACGCAATCATCTCCGATAATGGACTGCAATTCACGGATAAGAAATTCAACAACTTTCTTGAAAACCTTGGCATTTGACACCGGTTCACTTCTGTTGACCACCCACAGTCCAACGGTCAAGCCGAGGCTGCTAACAAGGTTCTCCTCATCAAGTTGAAGAAACGGCTTGGCACGGCAAAGGGAGCATGGGCCCAAGAGCTACCTGAAGTTCTTTGGGCATACAGGTGCACACCTCAATCAAGCATAAAGGAAACTCCATTCTGGCTGGCATACGGCACAGATGCTATGATTCCAGTCGAGGTTGGTGAACCTTCATTCCGACAAACACACTTTCATGAGGAGTCTAACGACGGCACAATCCGAGCCGAACTTGACATCGTGGATGAGGTCCGAGAGAAATCCCAAGTCATCGCTGAAGCGTGTAAACAACGAATGACCCGGCGATTTAACTCCAAGTTAAGACCAAGGAGTTTCCAAGAAGGTGATCTGGTTTGGCGATCAACTGGCTCGGCACGACGAAGCTCGACTGAGGGGAAACTAGCGGCAAATTGGGACGGCCCATTCAGAGTCAGACACACCCTTAATAATGGTTCTTACAAGTTAGAAGAATTGTCCGGCAAGATCATCCCCCGGACATGGAATTATACTCATTTGAAGACCTATTACAGTTAGGATTCCACTTCATGTACATGTGTAAATGTCTTACGGTGCACTCTTTTCCTTGAACCGGTCTTTTTTCCTCTTAAAAAATTGTGAAAAGAGGTTTTTGGCCGGCAAGGTTTTTAACGAGGCATCCAATCATCAATACACTAGTACATAATACACATTTTACGTCGGTCATTTTAGGGGTTTTTACGTCAGAAAAACATCCGATGTAGAAGCGGGAGACGTAAATTTACGTCGGGGCACGAAAACCGACGTAAATTTACGTCGGACATGCCTAGGTCCGACGTAAAAAAGTTATAAAAATTTAAAAAAAAAATTGAGGAGACTTGGTCACTTCTCTAGCTTCAAAAACATGCGCGAAATGCAACAGAAACATTATTACGAAAAAAAACATCTCAGAAAACACAAACTTGATAGAAGATACTACCTCATAGAAGAAAAACGCAACTCTCCGAAGAAGAAAAACGCAACCCTCCGAAGAAGAAAAATGCAACCCTCCGAAGAAGAAAAACGCAACCCTCGGAAGAAGAAAAAAATCATCACGCAAAGAAAAATAGCCATGATTTGAGGAGGAGGCGGAGGGATGAGGAAGAAAAACAGATAGAAGAAAGTGGACGATTTGAGGAGGAGGCGGGAGAAGGGAGCCATGGAATTTTTGAACTAGCTAGTGCGCGCAAGACACCTTCTTTTTAGCATCCTGTGGGTTGTTTACGTCGGCCCTGTTTGGGTCCGACGTAAATTTTAACATCTACGTCGGACACAATGAATAACCGACGTAGATGTTAAAATTTACGTCGGACCCTTAGAGGTCTGACGTAAATAATTTAAGAAAATTACCAAACGTGCCACCGTGCTTTTATTACGTCAGTTCTTTGTATATCTAACGTAAAATGGGTGACGTAGTATCCTATTTTTCCACTAGTGATAACAGTACAATTCAGCTATTTATGTCTTGCTTCATATTTACGCAAAATTTACAAGTCTTCCCTCCCGAGATGTCTCTCGGCCAAGGATGTGGCTTTCGTTTCAATTTACAAGTCTTCCCTCGTGAGATGTCTCTCGGCCAAGGATGTGGCTTTCGTTTCAATTTACAAGTCTTCCCTCCCGAGATGTCTCTCGGCCAAGGATGTGGCTTTCGTTTCAATTTACAAGTCTTCCCTCCCGAGATGTCTCTCGGCCAAGGATGTGGCTTCCGTTTCAATTTACAAGTCTTCCCTCCCGAGATGTCTCTCGGGAGAAGTCCTCTCGGTTAAGGGTATGACTATTTCAAGTCTTCCACACGTTAAATATAAACTACACTACGTTCGGCAAATTTATTATATTGCTGTTCGCTCGGAAAAACTGATAAAAGCAGGAAATTGCATTAACAAATCAAAAGGGCTCTAACGGCCTAGAATTACAAGAGATTAAACGGGGCACTATCGGCCCCAACATACAAAATCAAAAGAAAATCACCCTAAGCCTGTGCCTCGGGCTCCCCTTGGATTGAAGGCTCCTGCTCGGCCACTTCCTCCTGCACATGGCCGCCTCCACTCGGTGCGGCCTCATGACGAACAGGGACTTCAGTGTCCGACTGCTCATTCGGCGGGATTTGGGTCAAATTGACATATTTCCCCCGATAGAAGTCCATGGTCATATCAAATTGAAAGTCCTGAGGCAAACTCCCAAAATGCCGAGCTTGCCGAGCCGCTTGGGCGAAGCCGGCTTCATGCTAAGAAAGAACCTTGCTTCTGGCCCTCTCCTGGTATGCACTGAAATCCTTCTTTTCGGCTTCTAGCGCCTTCAGCAACGTAGCATACTTCTCAGCCTTGGCCTTCAAAAGATTCTCCAATCGTTGAACCTTCAAGGTCAGGTCATCATTTTGACGACTCCGACGGTCCAGCTCCGCTTCACATTTCTTACCATGCCCTTGTGCCTCAGATAAAGCCGCCAAGGTTTCCTGCACGGACTTTTCTGACTCAGCCAGCTGTCGGCGCAGCCCGTCGGCCTCGGTGTTCGGTTGCATCATAATACTTTGAGCCAAAGCCAGGGCCCGAGCTTGCAACTCGCAGAAAAAAGTCCACTTATGGGACGAAGTCATCTGCCCCAGTATGGATTGCCCCATCTCTGAAGTCAGGTCCTGACTCAAGTAATCTTGGGCACTGACATTCGAGGCCAAGAAGCTGGGACTCACAAGCCCCTGAGGAGCCACAAGAGCGGGCAACCTTTGTTGTTTTTGTCGGCACGCCTCGGCCTCGGCCTCAGCCTTTCTTTTGCTCTTCACCCTTTGGGCATCCTGGTTGCCCTTCTCCCTCGGCTGCAGTTGAGGCCGAGCCGTCTCACGGGCCGGAGCCCGGTCCTCCCCATGTGGAGCTGATTGCTTTACAACTCAGCTCTGGATCAGGGCACGAATATCCAACTCGTTGTCGTAGTTCGCCATGATACCTGCACAAACACTAGTCAAAATCAATGGCAACGCAGGAATTTAAATAAAGGACAAACACTATACCAATTAAATCATCAATAGGCTGGGCTGATTTCACAAGACGAACAAGATCTCGGCACGGCAACGGCCGTGGCAGCTTCTCAAACACTTCCAAGTCAGCTTTCTCCTAAGTAGACATCTTAGACTTCGACACCACGTCATATTTTCTCGGCGACCGAGTCCAATATAAAGGAAACAAGGCATTCCCTTCACCATCAAAAAAATACTTGTTGCCGTTTTCTGGCCGAATCATCACCTTAAAGAATCCCACTTTGAATCCTTTATAGGATGTTGTAAACGACTGAAGTAAACAATGCTCCGCCTAAACCAGCGACAGCCATTTCACTTTCTTCGTAGGCCGACACGAGTAAAAATACAAGAACAAGTGGGGAGTCGACTCGATACTAAGTGTCAGACACAACTGCCGAAGCCCTTGCATCGCGGCCCAGCTGTTCGGATGTAACTGGGTCGGTGCAAGGTTGAGCAAACGGAGCACACCCATAAAAAACTTATCAAAAGGAAGAGTCACCCCCAAATCACGAAACAAGTAGTCATACACAAAAAAGAAATGGTATTTACACTTCCCTCGGCCAAGAAAAACAAAATCTGATTCCCATGACCCATCGTTCCGGCACGAGTCGAAAAAGAAACCAGATGGCACTTCACGCTCTGGAAGCGTAACAAAATTTTCCGTGTCGAACAGCAAAGCGATTGAGCTCTTGTCAGTATACCGAGAAAATACACTGCCCACCTCCCCATGAACCCATCTATAGCCAGGAACTTCTATAGGGTCTAACTGACGCGAAGTCGAACCGACTCGGCGAGTACTCGGTCGGCCCTCGGTCACCTCGAGAGAAGAAGCCTCCTCCATACTTCATGACTGCTCGAACCCTTCAACAATTTCTACGCTAACCGACCTCTGTGTTGCCGAGTCTGAGACCCTTGGGTGAAAAGACCCACGCGAACCAGTATCAGCAGAGGTATCCCTATTATTCCCAGTCGAGCCAGCTTCTGAAACCCTATCTTCTACATCTATATTTAACTCAGCCATTGAAACGTACCTTAATTGGAAGTCGGCCTCGGTCGGAAACTTGCACTCAAGGTTGGTCTCTACGTTGGCTCGGAGCAATCGCACGCTACAGTTAAGTGAACACACGAGGATTTGGTCCCCACCACCCCTATTTATAGTGTTTTCGAAATACGAATGATAACTGATACTCCTTCAGGGACCGTCAGATCAATATGATCCAACGATCCACGGGATCCAACTTTTCAATTCCCTCTCATCATTACTTTACCGTTACCAACCCAACAGTTATAACCCCTCACCTTCCCACGATAATGTCCCACGATTAATGCTTAACGGTTATAACCCCCATTTTCCCACATTTATGTCCCACGATTAATGCTCGACAGTTACAATTCTCCACTCCACCTCAACCGTCACGAAATGTAAAGTCACTTTTACCCTTTGCGTCCTTACACTCCTCAAGGCTGGGCGGCTTGTGTACTGGAAGGACCCTATCGGCCACTTGGATCGGCCACGTGGACCGGCACCTCATGTCCTATCAGATATCGGCTCGCCCAGAAGCCGAGAGAGGACGTTTCGGCCGTGTTGTCTCAGCTCGGCCAAAAGTCAGCCTCGAATAATTAGAACGACGATTATGGTTAGCAAGGATAAGTACATGATTAAGACATAATCAGCTGATTAACATCGTATTACCTAATTTGGTAAATGTCAGAGAAGGCCCACCATGCTCAGGCCCATGTCAGGTATTATAAATAGGTCACACGTAACGAGGTATGTCACTGTTCATTTTTTACCCTAGAAAATCGTGCTTGTCCTGACTTGAGCGTCGGAGTGCCTTTTGCAGGTACCTCCCCCCTCTGAAGAATCCACCTGAAGCTCTCGTTCGGCCCTCCTACACCCCAGAAGACTACGAGTGTACCCTCAGGTAAGTGACATGCTTTACCATAAACCATCTGAAATGGTGACAGTCCAAGAGGTGTCTTATAGGCAATGCGATAGGCCTAAAGTGCATCATCCAACTTGAGAACCCAATCTTTCCTGCTTACATTCACTGTCTTTTCAAGGATACGCTTAATTTCCTGGTTTGAGACCTTTGCTTGCCCATTTGTTTGCGGGTGATAAGGAGAAGCTAGCTTGTGTCGCACATCATAGTGTTCCAACACCTTCTTTAATTAAGAGTTGCAGAACTGAGTTCCCCCATCACTGACCAAAACTCTTGGAACACCAAACCTAGAGAAGATGTTTTTCTTGAGAAACTTGATCACGGTCTTAGCATCACTCTTTTGTGCAGCCACAGCCTCGACCCATTTGGAAACATAGTCTACAGCCACTAATATGTACTCATTTGAGTAAGAGGAAGGTAAGGGCCCCATGAAATCGATTCCCCAGCAATCAAAGACCTCTACTTCAAGCATGTTTTGCAATGGTAGCTCATGGCGTTTGGAAATATTTCCAATTCTCTGACATCTATCACAGCTCTTTGCATGATCATAGGCATCCTTAAATAATGTT